TTGGGCGGAAATGAGTACCTGATACTGGTGCTCATTTTTCTTGGCATACTGGGCACAGGTGGTGGCTCTCTCCACCAAGAAACACTTTTCTTCACTTGCCATTGACACCCCCTCTCCCTCCTTCCCCTCATGGCCACACCTTCCCGGTCCCCTTGCCATCTCTCATCTCCTGCTCATGGTGGGGGGTGCCTGTGCTCTTCCTCCTGCCCTCAGTGATCTCACCTGGGCTCTTGACTCTAAATACCATCTCACCAATCAGCCGGTGCTCCCAAGCATAAGGTCCCCAGCCCGAGCCCCAGGACTGAATATCCATCTTCACCAACAGTTTCAAATGGGTGCCGAACAGATGTGCCAAGCGCAATCACCCAAGCTGAGCTTCATTCTGGGACTTCACTTCTGTGACTTAGTCCCCTCTGTCTTCCCCGTCCTCCCTCAGTCTTCCCCATCTTCCCTCAGCCTTCCCCATCTTCCCTCAGTCTTCCCCATCTTCCCTCAGTCTTCCCCATCTTCCCTCAGTCTTCCCCGTTTTCCCTCAGTCTTCGTCATCCCTAAGAGTTCCCCGTCATCCCTCCGTCTTCCCCGTCATCCCTCAGTCTTCCCCATCTTCCCGCGGTCTTCCCCATCTTCCCTCGGTCTTCCCCATCTTCCCTCATTCTTCCCCATCTTCCCTCAGTCTTCCCCATCTTCCCTCAGTCTTCCCCATCATCCCTCATTCTTCCCCATCTTCCCTCAGTCTTCCCCATCTTCCCTCATTCTTCCCCATCATCCCTCAGTCTTCCCCATCTTCCCTCAGTCTTCCCCATCTTCCCTCAGTCTTCCCCATCATCCCTCAGTCTTCTCCGTCATCCCTCAGTCTTCCCCGTCTTCCCTCAGTCTTCCCCATCTTCCCTCAGTCTTCCCCGTCATCCCTCAGTCTTTCCCGTCATCCCTCAGTCTTCCCTGTCATCCCGCGGTCTTCCCCGTCATCCCGCGGTCTTCCCCATCATCCCGCGGTCTTCCCCGTCTTCCCTCGGTCTTCCCCATCTTCCCTCGGTCTTCCCCATCTTCCCTCGGTCTTCCCCGTCATCCCTCAGTCTTCCCCGTCATCCCTCAGTCTTCCCCGTCTTCCCTCAGTCTTCCCCGTCTTCCCTCAGTCTTCCCCGTCTTCCCTCAGTCTTCCCCGTCTTCCCTCAGTCTTCCCCGTCTTCCCTCAGTCTTCCCCATCTTCCCACAGTCTTCCCCGTCTTCCCTCAGTCTTCCTCGTCGTCCCTCAGTCTTCCCTGTCTTCCCTCAGTCTTCCCCGTCTTCCCTCAGTCTTCCCCGTCTTCCCTCAGTCTTCCCTGTCTTCCCTCAGTCTTCCCCGTCTTCCCTCAGTCTTCCCCGTCTTCCCTCAGTCTTCCTCGTCATCCCTCAGTCTTCCCCGTCTTCCCTCAGTCTTCCCCGTCTTCCCTCAGTCTTCTCCATCTTCCCTCAGTCTTCCCCGTCTTCCCTCAGTCTTCCCCGTCTTCCCTCAGTCTTCCCCGTCATCCCTCAGTCTTCCCCGTCTTCCCTCAGTCTTCCCTCAGCCTTCCCCATCTTCCCTCAGTCTTCCCCATCATCCCTCAGTCTTCCCCATCTTCCCTCAGTCTTCCCCGTCATCCCTCAGTCTTCCCCGTTTTCCCTCAGTCTTCTCCGTCATCCCTCAGTCTTCCCTGTTTTCCCTCAGTCTTCTCCATTATCCCTCAGTCTTCCCTCAGTCTTCTCCGTCCTCCCTCAATCTTCTCCGTCCTCAGTCTTCCCTGTTTTCCCTCAGTCTTCCCTCAGTCTTCTCCGTCCTCCCTCAGTCTTCTCCGTCATCCCTCAGTCTTCTCCATCATCCCTCAGTCTTCCCTCAGTCTTCTCCGTCCTCCCTCAGTCTTTTCCGTCCTCCCTCAGTCTTCCCTGTCTTCCCTCAGTCTTCCCTCAGTCTTCCCCATCTTCCCTCAGTCTTCTCCGTCCTCCCTCAGTCTTCCCCATCATCCCTCAGTCTTCCCTGTTTTCCCTCAGTCTTCTCCGTCATCCCTCAGTCTTCCCTCAGTCTTCCCCACTTTCACTCAGTCTTTTCCATCATCTGTCAGTCTTCTCCGTCATCCCTCAGTCTTCCCTTTTTTCCCTCTGTCTTCTCCATCATCCCTCAGTCTTCGCTCAGTCTTCCCCACTTTCCCTCAGTCTTCTCCGTCCTCCCTCAGTCTTCCCCGTCCTCCCTCCATCTTCCTCGTCATCCCTCAGTCTTCCCTCAGTCTTCCCTGTCCTCCCTCAGTCTTCCCCACTTTCCCTCAGTCTTCCCTGTCCTCCCTCAGTCTTCCCCATTTTCCCTCAGTCTTCCCCGTCCTCCCTCAGTCTTCCCTTTCCTCCCTCAGTCTTCTCTGTCCTCCCTCAGTCTTCCCCGTTCTCCCTCCATCTTCCCCATCCTCCCTCTGTCTTCCCCGTGTTTGTGCTGGAGTCTTCTTCATCCCAGAAAATAGCAAGCCCATCCTTCCAGCTGTTCAGGCCCCAAACTTTGGACTCCCTTTCTACTCTTTTGTCTCTCATCCCGCATCCAACCATCAGCGGTTCCTGCTGAGCCCACCTCCAAATAGGCCCCAAATCCGACCCAGCTCAGCCTCTGGTCTCTGGCTGGATTATTCCGGGAGCCTCCTCATCGGGCCCT